GCAGCACAAATCCTCTGAAGTCCGCGCCCCTCTGCCCAGTCGCCATTGCTGCCTTGCGGATGTTTCTCAGACCCTGAGAGGTCTCCGAATGTGCTTCAGGGCCCAGTTGTGTCAGCCCGGACCCCCAGGGTGTGGAAGAAAAGCCAGGAATCCAGCTGAATAAAGGCTTGAGTCTGGAGCAGCTTGGAGGAGGGCTAGTATCAGTCCGTCTTTTCTTTGTGCTGTAAACTCGGTGGTTCTGAGCTCTGGCACCATCTTCTCCTGGTTGGTGAACAGCGGCGCGCAGAGTCCTTACTAAGTTACTGCACCATCTTGAAGCAAAATGCACTGACTTCACAGAAAGCTGTTTAATTCTTCAAAACTTCTGTTTATTTAATTTTTTCCACTCTAGATACCACGGATATACGTTAAAGATACATTTTAAGGTGTAGACTATTCGATAAATCCAAATACCTTTAAGAATATTTTTCACGAAGCAACTTTGAAGTTATGTTCTTGAGCACCAATTCACATTTTAGCTAGAGAAATTTAAGCTTATGCAGCAAACATATAAACGTTATTTAACTCTATATGGTAAATTTACAGTATAAATAAATCTCTATATAATATTTTACCTTCTATGTGAAATTTTCTGTTGATGAAACATTCGTTTGGAGCTCTGTTTAGTTTATTTCTTACTTAAAATGTAGGTATTTTTACAACAACTCTCTTTGCTAGTTTATTCTTTCCCCTTGACAACTGTCACCTCGACAGCTGTTTGACCAGAAATGGATGATTTGGGCAGATGATAAATAGCCAGGCGATTTTGCAGATTTGTTTCCATGAGGATTCAAAACCCAGTATATGGTCAAACTCTCTGACAGCTTAGCTTGGTATTAATTATTTGCATGGTAAGTTGCTCAGAAAAATTCCTTTATTTCATGATGTCCTGATGTTTAACAGTTGATCAGTTCAATGAATCAATGACTACCCTGAGAGTAGAATCTGGTTTTTCTTTTTATTAATTATTATTTTCTTATTTTACATATTGATCCCAGGTCCCTATCCCTCCCTCCCTCCCATGCCTTCCCCCATCCCATCCCCCCCAATCTGGTAGATTTTTCTACAGCAAAATGTTTTATTTGTTCAAATTATATGGCCACAGGAAACACAAGTGGAAGACTAGAATAAACCAGGCAATGTTGATGGATATTCAAGATATAGTTTAAAATTACTCAAAATTGATGATACAGTAAAATAGCTCTTGTCTCTCAGAGCTTATAAAGTATATAATAGCATTTGTGTAGGAGGCTATTTCATTCATATGACTAATACATAGGCTATAGATGGTTTAACATTAATTTTGAATTAAAACAAAATCAAAGAATCATATTACCAGTGTTCAAACAAACAATTTGAAAACTCCTGATTGTGAACGAACTCTTTCCATGATAACTACAAACATGCAAATGGCAATTATTGGTTTAGGAAAACATGTTTTATGCCTATCATTTTTTTCATTTTTTAGTTATTTTTTCTTATTTTATATATCAATCCCAGTTCCCTCTCCCTATCTCACTCCCTCCCATGGCCCCCGACTGCCTGCCACCCCCCCACTCCACAGGGAGGGAGATGCCTTCCAGGAGGGATCAACAAAATCTATCAAGTCATTTGGAGTAGGGACTAGGCCCTCCCTCCTGCCTTTAAATGTTAAATTATGTAAATTCCTTTGTGTCTGTATTTTTAGAGATATTTCCTTCAAGTGATTTAATATTAAAACTTATTCTCATTATTAAATACTACCAAATACCTAATATACATATATCATTGTAATTAATTTAACAATACAACAATTACAATAATGGTGATGTCAACAAACATTTGTTTAGTATATTGCTTTATTGCTGGAAAAAAGATTTCACAATTTCCAGAATTGTGTGAAGTGTTAAAGCAAGGTTTAAAAATTTTCGTAACAAAATTTTTCAATATCATTTGAAAGACCATAGAGATTTTCATTGGCTTAAATGAGTGACAAATGGTTCTAAGCATATTATTCAGTTTTTAAACATCAGGATTAGGTAGTCCCTTCCACAGACATCAGCGATTTTTAAAATTTAATTCATAAGAAGTAAAAAGGGCTGTTTCTTTGCTATCACTGAAGTGGCAGCAGCTAAAATGAAGTTCAGTGCATTTGTGATCTCTGACCGAAGCAAGAACCATAAAGAACATTTCAACACACCTTTCAACATTTGGAAGGTTATGTTTTCCTCTTTTCAAAGAACTGAGACAAACACGATGTTCAGTCTATGTCCTTGTGAAAGGATGACACAGGATGGCAGATCAGCAAAGCAAACCAGCTTTAAATGTAATCTATACCCCAGCAATCGGTTTATAACCAGGCCAAAATTAGACAAAGTCAACTCTCACCAAGTAGGACAGGGAAGGGGAAAATATGGGAAGAAACAAGCAAGATGCAGAGATAAAGAATGTGCACACAACTTTCACTAAGAACTGACAAAAGTTGATAGAGTGCTTGCCTAGTATGCACAAAGGCCAGGGTTTGAGTCTCAGCACTTTATAAACCAGGTATGGTAGTGCACACCCCCTGAGGGTCACAACACATCACCTTTCTAAAAGCTCGCCTCTCATTAATTTTATTGGGGACCAAGCCTTGGATCTCTGGGAGACATTTCATATGCAAACAATGACACCCATGATTCATTGCAAAGAGAAGACCTAATCATTATTCAAAGAGAACATTACGATTCCTGTTTTTTTCTTTTTTGTTTTAAATAAAAGCCTTACCTGATCAAGAGAGTCTTCCTCTTTACAAAAAGTTGAATCTTCCTGTGTTAATAAAGGCTCATTTTTCTCACAGCCCTCCTGACTGATGAGCGTGTGAGCATAGTTAGGCTGGGGAAAGATCAGGTGGCTCTTCCTGGAGTCTGCTGTGAGGGAGACCTCATGGGAATAGGTCTGCAGAAAGGCCTGCACTCCATCAATACCCACAAAGTGTGAAGTGGACATATTTGACACACCTTTCCTTGTGGCCTTCAGTGGTCTTGACTTATGCCAGTGCCATAGCCTGAGCACCAGCAGCCCCATCACAAAAGCAAAGAAGATGCAAGAGACAGTGGCCACTGCCACCACCAGGTAGATTGTAAGGCTTGAATCATCAGATTTGTGTGGAAGATCAAGGTTGCCCAAGTCAGCTAGGATGTCAGGAATGCTGCTGGCCACAGCCACAGTGAATGTGACTGTGGCTGAGAGAGGGGGCTGGCCGTGGTCCTGCACAGTCACCACCAGACTCTGCTTCAGAGCATCTCTGTCCAGCAGGGCCCGGGCAGTGCGCACCTCACCTGTGTGCAGTCCCACTGAGAAGAGCCCTGGCTCGCTGGCCTTGAGCAGGCGGTAGGACAGCCAGGAGTTCTGTCCTGAGTCTTTATCTACTGCTACCACCTTGGTCACCAGGTACCCAGCCTCTGCAGAGCGGGGAGCCAATTCCACACCAGTAGAACCGTCAGTGGGTAGGACGGGGTATAGGATTTCAGGTACGTTGTCATTCTGGTCCAGCACAAACAAGCTCAATGACACATTGCTGCTAAGTGGGGGTTTCCCTCTGTCACTGGCTGACACTAGAAGATTCAGCTCTCTAAACTGCTCATAGTCAAAGGAACACAGTGCATACAGGACACCAGTGTTGGAGTTGATAGAGAGGAAGGAGGATAGAGGTGTACCCTGGAGGGTTTCTTTGGTCAGAGAGTAGATAATTTCAGCATTCTCTTCACTGTCAGGGTCCACTGCCTCCAAAGAGAAGATGGAGATGCCTTTAGGGTTATTCTCAGGGACATAGACAGAGTAGGAGGAACGGGAGAAAGCTGGTGGGTTGTCATTAATGTCCGACACATCCAAGGAGATGAATCTTGCTGTAGACAGAGGTGGTGTTCCTCTGTCAGTGGCTGTCACAGTGATGTTGTATGAAGACACCTGTTCCCGATCCAGTTTTGTAGTTGTCACTAATCGAAAATAATTGTCTAATGACTCTTCCAGTTTAAACGGGAGACTTTCTGAGACAGAGCATGCTACCAGGCCATTCTGTTCAGAGTCTTTATCATAAACTTGAAAAAGAGCAATTACTGTTCCTGGAGGTGAATTTTCAGCAATTGCTCTGCTACCAGATGTAACCACTACTTCTGGAGCATTGTCGTTCACATCCAAGATGGTTATTAAGACTTTTGCTCTGTCTTGCAGACCTGGCTGATCCCGGGCTTCAACATCCAGCTCATAAAATTTTGAATCCTCATAGTCTAGAGTTTCAGAAGTGGAAATTTCTCCAGTTACACGATCTAAGCAGAAAATCTGTGAGATCTCTTCCGTGATCTTCACAAAGGAATATGTTATTTCTGCGTGTACCCCTTCATCCTGGTCAGTGGCATTAACTGTTAACACTGTTGTACCCACTGGCAGATTTTCAGGAATACTCACACGATAGATAGGCTGAGTAAACACTGGAGCATTGTCATTTGCATCTACAACAGTTACCAGAATTCGTGCCATGCCTGTTCGAATGGGGTCACCACCATCTATAGCAATAAGGACCAGGTGGTGAACCGCTTCTCCCTCCCTATCCAGGGTGTGCTCCAACACCAGCTCCGGGTACTTGGGCCCCTGGGCTTGGCTTTGCACGTGTACTGAGAAGTGTCTACTGCCGCTGAGCTTGAAGCTCTGAATGGAGTTCACTCCCACATCGGGGTCATAGACATCCATTAGTAGAAAACGAGAGGATGGAGCTGCATTTTCGAGAATTTTCACTTCCAAGTCTTCCTTTAAGAATCGTGGTGCATTGTCATTAATGTCTACTATTTCCACTTCCACGGGATAAAGATTTAACTTATCCTCCACAAGGATGTTAAAGCTCACGAGACAGGGCGCACTCTGGGCGCACAGCTCCTCCCGGTCTATCCTGCTGGCGGTGACCAAGCTGCCGCTTCGCGGATTCAGGGAGAAAAGCTGCGACCTACCTCTGGAGACGATGCGGACCCCGCGCTCCGCCAGCTCGCGGGGCTCGAGCCCCAGGTCCTTGGCGATGTTTCCCACGAAGGAGCCTTTGTCTAGTTCCTCGGGAATAGAATAGCGGATCTGCCCAGCTTCGGAACCCCACAACCACCACAGGAGATTGAAAAGCAGGAGCAGCTCGCCCCAGAGCGAGCGCCTCTGCTGAGCCACCATGACTGACTTGTTAAAGAATTGCCAGTGATTACTGGTAGGACGAACAGCTCCGCCCCACGTTGTAATGCACAAAATCAGAGATAAAGATCCTTAAATAATGAACAGAGACCAATTGAGAACCATCTCAGGTTAGAATTCCTGCACAGCTTTGGTAACTCAACAGGACACAACCCAGTTTCCACTGATTTTCTTGCTCAGGTTAGGGAACAGCGACACTTACAGTCTTAACTTCATACTGCACCCGTTTTGTGACAATGGTAGAGGATTTTATTTCTGCTAAGAAAAGTGAATGAAAGAAAAATAATATGTTCAATTTAAAATGATCTTAAATGTCCCTGAAAAATACTTTTTTTGGGTGGGAATATTTCTTGGAATCTTGTGGAATAGAAATGTTAACACACTTTTCTGGAAGCCTTGAGTCATCACCTGCATTTGCCCACTTTTAGTAAGATCACTGATAACCACAAACACATTCTGAACGATTCTACTACAGTGTAAACAGTAGATGAGCTGCCATTTTTAGGTATTATCTGTTCCTAATAACATTTAAAGAAAGGCTGTAACATAGGATACAGTTGTGTGTGCTTTCTAAAAAAATGTACAGGAAGTGAAAATGTATAGGCTATATACATGTAAAGTCAATAATTCTTTCGAGACAGGGCTAAACCTTTAGCCCTGACTGCCTTGGAACTCCCTTTATAGATCAGGCTGGCCTTGAACTCAAAGATCCACCTGCCCTTGCCCCCGAAATTTCACATGTGATTCCTTCACTGTCCATCCAGGTCAAGATTTCTGAAAATTTCTTTTCTCAAGAAAGATGCTTAATCCAGTTGTGATATAAGGCCCCAAAATTCTTTTATGTCTCCTTGAATTAAAAACACACATACTCATGACAACTAAAACATTCTCCACTGGCAGATCTCTGGCAACTGCTCACTTTAGGAGAAGTGAGTTTTCAAACAGTTCCCTTTAGGAACCATTTTAAGGTAGATCAGCCTCTTATGTGCTGGCACTCCACATCTGCTAAGAACAAATTCAGACCATATTCATTCCTAGCACTCTCATAACACTGGTCTGTATATGGATATGCCAGTGCTACATTGAGATAAACATCCATTCACAGGTGTTTTTAACACCTCATGTTCAAAACACACCCCATTATCCATGATCCCCTTGAACTGTTTTGTGTGGCATTTTTCTTCTTGTATGCATCAACACTCAAACTGACAATGAGTCTTCAGTTGAAAAAGAGTACTTATTTTGGTACCTGTCTTCCATGCTACATAAAACATTTTAATACATTTATTTATTATATTGCACACAGGATATTTGTGATTGACTGCATGCAAAGTAAGGGGATTGTTTAATTGTATAGGGTTGTGTTTAATTCAGGAGAGAATGCCTGGAGTTGGGAATTGTGGTGGTTTGAATAAGAATGGCCTCCATAGGTTATATATTTGATTGCTTAGGGCAGGGAACTATTTGAAAAGATTAAGAGGTGAGGCCTTGCTGTAGGTGTGGTATTATTTAAGGAAGTATATCATTGGGGGGGTATGCTTTGAGGTTTCAGCCCAAGCCAGTCCCAGAGTCTGTCTTTTCCTGCTGCTTGTGGATCTTGATGTAGAATCCTTAGCTATTCCTCTACTACCAAGTCTGCCTGCACGCTACCATGCTCCCACCAGAATAATGGACTATACCTCTGAAACAGCCATCAAGTCTGATTAAATGTTATCTTTTATATGAGTTGTCATGGTCATGGGTCTCTTCACAGCAATAGAACAGTGACCAAGACAGGAATATAACACAGTATTAGCATGCTTGTCTGGGGTGTCAAAAACTTTGAATTCAATGTCAAGCACTATAAAAAGGCCTGTTTTAGACCTCCATTTTTGGTTTAGAGGCCTAGAATATCTGACAGACTTTTCCATGAAGCAGGGATTTTTTTTGAAGGACTTCCTACCCTGTCTTGGCAAAGTTCTGTAGCTGCCTTTTTTGGGTACTGCTTGTCCAGTTTGGACACAATACTGTCAGCAGTCTAGGCAAAGGAAATTTCTTACCTAAATGGCTAGCTTCTGCCAAAAAGAAAGCAAACTCCATATGGAGGTCCCTTTTTATTTTTAAGTAGATTGGTGCTGCCAGGAACAGACATGTCTCACTGTCATGAAAATCCTTATGTTATTATGACATTTAAAATGCCATATTCTGTAGGTCTTTTGAGTGTTTTAAAATCACCTACCTACCTTGAAACCATACCTAACATGACCATAAGTTTGTTATAGATGAATAACTACTAAATTGTATTTTTATAATCCTAAATAGCTTTCAAGGACTAAACTTTACATTTTAAAATGAACTGCATAGGTATTATACTGTAAACAAGAATAGAAATAAACATATAACAAAAATAATCATATATTTGTATCCATACCAATGTAAAATAATTGAGACTAGTGGTTGCTCAAAAGTAGACTCAACAATTCACTCATTTATCCCTTCATTTCTATACTATACCCCCTTTACCTTCATAAAGAGATCCCTGAATCTAATCTTGTTTGTTCAGCCTTTTTCCTGACCATGACCAATAACAACTTGTAACCAACCCCCCTAAATGATTACAAACATCCATAACCCTTCAAATGACCAAAATCACTCACCCCACCTCTTGGGAATGTGGGCATTGTGTTTTCTAGGTGATGGAATCTTTAGAGAACCCTTATAACACTGAGATAATAGTCAAGGCATGGAAAAGGTAGCCATAACATTTGTTGTCCATTCTCTGTGCAATGGGGAAGTGCAAGGCTTATCTGTAGTTCCAGCTAAAATAGTCTGTGTGGCAAGACCATATCAGCCAGCAGACTTGAAGAAGCCCTGGATGTAGAACTCTGAGGGAACTGTGACAGTGGCACTCTGAGAGGCTGGATCACCTGGGCCACCTGTTTTTATTGGTGTCTTATCCCCTTGCTCTGAAAACACATAAACTTTTAAAGGTAACATACCTATTATCTGCATTAATACAAGTATGAACTGTATATTGTATACCGTCCTCCCAAAGTTGATATTTTTTTGTTTTATGTTTGAGCAGGTTCATCACCTGTCTTATAGTTTTTGTAGGTTTATTTATTTATATCTATAGTTCAGATTTTTCAGGAGCCCCCCACCCTATATCAAACCTGATTCTGTTTAACCTTGAACGAATCCACAGACTTTCATTTCCTATGGAAACAAAAGCATAACCTCTTCTCCAACACAATACATTTTAACAATTCCATTTTAAGGTTGAGGCACTCCTAAAGTATCTAGGATGGTTTAATCCAGCAGTCCCTCTCACAACCCCACACATCTCAGCATTTGTTGTTGTTCATTGGCAATGAAAAAGGTTTAAAGTCAAAAAGACACCATGTAGGATCCAGACTCTCTGTGTATTTCTCATCTTTATGTGGCTTATCCTTTTTATATTGTTTTATTCTCTTTGAAGATTTATCTCATTATTCATAAACTATTTTTATGACTATGACCAGTTTCTTTTAGTTTTTAAGCCTATGCACATTTTAAAAACACACTGTAACCTGTTTAAAGGTTGTTTCATCTGGATCTGTCTTTACTGAGTACCTTTAGCATTCTCTAACTCTGTGAGACAAATCTCAAACTGCTATGTCAGTCACCATACAGCTTACTTTAGTGCATGGAGCTAGTAGCGGCTCCAGCCCACAGGCAGAAGCCAGTAGCTGTGTCTCTGTATGCTACTGAGCCTCCTGGGAGACTGTGTTTGGAACTTAAAAAAAAAAAAAGACTTCTCAGGCCTTAAGTGGATATATGTGGCCCCACATTGGGTGCCAAATGTACCCACTAGACTCAACATCATGACACAGAGACTTATTATTGATTATGAAAGTTTGGCCTTAGCTTTGGCTTGTTTCTAACTAGCTCTTTTAACTTAAATTAATCCATTTCTATTAATCTATGTGCTGTCATGTGGCTTGTGGCTTTTACCTATCTGCCTGCATGTCTTGCTTTCTCTGTTTCTGGCTGGTGACTCTGCCTTTCTTCTTCCCTGAGACCTCTCTGTCCTCAGAAGTCCTACCTAACCTCTTCCTGACTAGCTATTGGCCATTCAGCTCTTTATACCAAACACAGTGACACATTTCCACACAGTGTAAAGGAATATTTCATAACAAATCACTACAAAAGGGGTAGGTCATGTGTCATAATGCTAATGTGAATATTACTTTGTTGAAATGTTGATTGTATTGTTTTAGAATTAACAAAAAATTAAAACCATTAGGAGACTTTCTACAGAAACACAACTGCAACACAGATAAGCTTACCAGGAATTTCATTACTCCATGCTCCACACCCAGAAAAATTAATAAAACACAATAGAATCAAGGAGTACTTCATCTGCAGTATTTCATCTCTAAGTTAATGAGCTCCTTCCTAATTACACATAGGAAATAGTTGAAGGAACCATTTGCAAATTGATTGAATCAATCTCCTGTTTGGATTGTTGTTACTGGCTGGCACTTTCAACCCAAAAGGCTTCAATCTTGTGGTAGAGCATTTTTGGGCTTTGTACTGAGAAATTAAACTCAGTGCCTGAAGAATGTTAGGCAGTGCATCCAATCCATTGTAGAATAAGGCAAAATTCCCTTGCCATAGTTGGGGAAAAGGAAAATTATATAGCCTTGTAGCAGAGATCAAGCTCAAAAAAGACTTCAGTGTTGTGCCTATAGGAATGTCACAGATGTAGGGCAATAGCCATGACCATGGCAAGGAGAAAGAACACAAAGATCAAGGCTAAGATTACTACTAGGTAAAGCTGGGGTTTGCCTAGGGATTGAGGGGAATGGGTAAACACTAAGGTCCAGAGATATCTCTTACAAGCTGTCTACAAAGATGACACCCAGTGTAACATAGACTAAACAGGGTAGCAGACCTTCATTTTTTTTATTAGAGTCAGAAATTGGTGATGGACTTAATCTTGTCTCTAAAGTATGCCCAGTACAGCTTCTCCCATGAACAATCCTAGGCTATAGAGTCCTACAAAGCAGGAGAGCCTGGCATTATATTCAGAGACCATGTCTATAACCACTATTTTGATGATCAGGTAACCAGACTCTCTGTAGAAGAGCCAGGACTACTGTGCCCCAGCACAGGGTACAGCATATGTTGGGTACTGTCACTGAGGTGGCCTG